AAAAACACAACCTTAGAAGCTAGATCTCAAATTTTCATTGGAATCTTATTTCACTATAAAAAAATTACCTAATGTGACATTTTTTATTGTGACAATTTATACTAAAATTATATTAAAATAATATTTGTAACACTTTTTATTACGATAATTTGTGCTGAAAAAGTGGATCACAATTGAGGGTTTTTTTGTTGTAGTGTTTACTGATGAAAGTTTATTTAATAGGTTAATTTTATCTATCTTTCTTTTAAGAGAATTTCTTATCTTAGGGCAGATGTTAAGTGTATATTTAATGTGTCCTTTTATATTTAATTTGTATTAAACAATTATTTAATTAAAAATATATATGGTATTGGCAATAAAAACAAAGTTGATTTTTATGTTTTTTTATAGGCATTAAATATAAAATGATATAATTAATACACTCTTAAAAATACAAATTAAACAAATTCTTTTTTTAATAAAATCAAACTACCATTTCTTTTTAAATTTTAAATTATATAATAAAAAATAATTTTTCTCATTTCTTAACTTTTTTTTTTTGACCAGGTAAATGATTAGAAAGTTAGTAGAGTTAGTTTGTTAGCAGCTGAAATTTATCCAGGAAAGTGAACGTTCCACCCCTCATTTGAGGCGCGCGATCATTAGGTCGCAAATTGGTGGAGTTCATGGCAGTGGCAGAATTCGAAACCCTGACTTCTGCCTCACCCAAACCCTTAAGGCTTGGGTGTCTCACAGGCCCGTTGGCTCATTTCTTAACTAATTGGGGAAATCTCATACAGAAAAAAATGATGTCATGATCGGTTGTCATGGGGCCATTATTGAAGATTGAAAACAACTGCCAACTCCCTATATTTAGGTAACATCAAATCATGAATGCTATTTTAATGTTTCAATATTCTTCAATACTTGTTGAGACCAAAAAAAAAAAAATACAAGAAAGAAATAAGCGGGTGTCGGCTGCAGTGTTTCAGGTACAAGTCCCCTTCTCTGCCCTCTCATCCAATTGCAACCTCTATTCTTCATCTTGACTCAACTTTAATTGGGTTTAATACATAATGGATAGGGATTTCTTGTAACATTTTGTGTAGGTGGAGAGATTCTAACTTAAGCTCTTATCTATTTAAGTAAAATTGATAGTAAAAAATTAATAACAGTTAAAATTAATAATAAATAATAGATAATAGATGAAAAAAAAAAAAATCTTCAAAATCCTTGATTTGTCCTTCCATTACTAAATTCAGCTTTTTGTTGATTAATTGGAAGTTTTTGTCAGTTGATTTGCACTGAAGACCTAACTAAAAAAATTAAAAGGGTTGATTAATGGTCTTACGTATAATATAAGATAATGCTAGTAATGCTGAGTTTGGTGATGCTCAGAAAGCTTGGTAAGGGTGGTCCTATATTTTT